ATGATGATGATGATGATGATGATGATGATGATGATGATGATGATGATAATAATAATATTTATATAAGATTTTAAGGTTTGCTGAGTACTTTACATATTATCTCTTTTGATTCTCACAGCAACCCTAGGAGGTAGATCCTATTATTCCTACTTTACAGTTGAGGAAACTGAGGCAGACAGAGGTTAAGTGATTTGCCTAGGGTAGCACAGCCAGTAAATGTCTGAGACAGGACTTGAACTCAGGTCTTCCTGATTCCAAGACCAGTGTTCTATCATGATGCCACTTAGCTGTCTATTTGCTATACCATGCTGCCTCTCATGCTAGTACAATAATATCCTTAGTATAAAGAGCTGTACCATCATCAAATGGGGCTTCCTGTCTGCCTGCAGTAGAGATAGGGGTTGGATAGATGTGAAAGTTTCCACCCAACTTGAACTGATATTTCAGGCAACCTAAATTAGAATGAGTGTGGATCTACTTCATGTATGACACTATTTAGAAATAATTTTGAAATATTTCATAAGCAGTCTTCTTTCTTACTGGTTAGGCTTTGCTTAAGATTTCATTATGATTTAGGGGTCATGGATAAGTCTAACCTGACCACTCAGTCAGACTGTAAGCCTTTAATTGGGCATTTCACATCATTTTAAGTACCTGTGACATCACACTCACTGATGTGCTATGATAAAAAAAAATACAGAGAAACCCTAAGATGGCAGCATTAGATATGTACCCAAAGAACTCTTCTGAATGGTGCTAAGGTTGTTAACTTTTACATCTTGCTTGAAATGCATCTAATTGGAATAGAGTCCAAAATACCAATGGTTCCCAAGGTCTTTCTAATACGCCTCCTGCTCAGCATAGGACAAAACACTTTAAAGACGAATCAGATTTCTGCTGAGCCTGGTTTGGCTGGTTAGAGGAGACCTGTTCCATGAGAAACAGGTGTTTGGAGTACTAAGACTAAGAACTATCACATTACAGACTTTAGGGGGTCAAAGAATGTGTCATCTACTTTTCTGCATTCTTTTGTGCATTACAGTGGCAAAGGGATTCCGTGTTTGATTTTTTTTTTAAGTATTTGCAAAATTAAAAATGTCTTTGCAGAAACCTGCGCCACCAAAACCTGAACCAAAACCAAGAAAAGCCACTAAGGTAAGAGGTACTTTTTTTTCCCACTCTTGGGTGGTGGTAGGGGGTATTTTTAAATAAATGCATAAATAATAATCCTTCCTCTAACTCCATTTCCTGGGAAAGGTCAGGCTGAATGGTTGCTAAATGAACTAGCAAGAACACTGTCATTGCTGATTAGAGACATCCTCAAAAAAATTATTATGTGTAGTTTGTGGTCTACAAAGAGGGCATTTTTCTCTTAAGTAAAGTGGAAACAGGAGGGCTCACTATGCTTTTGGGCATGCAGCTTTGCCAAGGCAGGTGCTCTGAGAGCCATTCTGGCAGAGGACCTAGTTTAAATATGCTTCATTTCAAACCTAGAGGAGCTGAATGGTCTCTGAGGATTCTGTTGGCAACAAGCTGGGTGACCCAAGGGTCACATTGCCTTGCATGTAACTGAGAGGAAATAGGCCCATCCAGGTATGTGAGCCCCAGAAGGCCTTTTTGCTCTATGCCAGTCCTAGCCTTCATTGTTGGCTCAAAGTTTGACGTTTTGCTGTGTGGTTGTTTGATTTTTCCAAAGTATGGTAAAGTGGGGAAAGTGCTGGTGTTTAGAGTCAAAACACTTCCCATCTGAATCCTCGCTCTGCTAGTTATTGCCTGTGTGACCTTGGACCAATTCCTGAGCCTGAGTTCTCTGAAAAATGAGGGGGTTGGTACTAGATGATCTCTGAGGTTCCTTCCTGCTCTGAATCCTTGTGATCTTGTGAGTTGTCTCTGTCCCAGAGTTCCAGGCGAATTTTTGAAGCAGCAAAAATTCATTCCTGGTGCTTGATCTTAAAAATAGCATCTTTTCACCTGAGTTCTTAAATTCAATCCCTTGCTGCCTGCCTCACATTTCACCCTGTGCACTGTTTAATTGAAATTAATGGCTCTGCCAACTGTGGTGACCCTTCTCTCTAACTGCTCCCCAAGCCACCTTTCCAAATTTTGTTTTCTCTCAAATCCCCAGGCCTAGAGTGAGGCAGTTGGCACAGTTCTATGCCTTGACCCCTCTGTCAGACATCCAATGTTCTTCTTGCTAAGTAGCATTCACTCCTAGCATCAGTGGGATACACTCTCCACCAAGGAGAATAAGTAAATGAGTGAAATCGTTGTCCTTTCAGAAAAAAAGGAAAAGTATTTCTGATAAGCCAAGCTGCAGCGGATTTTCTAAGCAGTGATTTATTGGGATAGAGGCATTGTGAGACTGTGGATAGAATGCTGACCCTGGAGTTAGGAAGGCCTATGTCCAAGTCTTATCTCTGAAACTAATTATGTGACCTTGGATAGATCATTTGGACCTCAGGCAACTCCCTAGCAGATATCAACTAAGTTATATTTAGCAATCATTTCCTAAGCACCTACTAATGTTGGGCATTGTGATAGTTACCGTGAATACAAAAGCAAAAACCATTTCTTACCCTCAAAGAATTTACATGTTGTTGGAAGAAGAGAAAGGAAAAAAAAGTATTTTTTTAACTTATAGTTTAAAAAAAAAGGGTAGAGGGTAGCTAGGTGATACAGTGGATAGAGTTCCGGCCTTGGAGTCAGGAGGACCTGAGTTCAAATCCAGCCTCAGACCCATAATACTCATTAACTGTGTGACTCTGGGCAAGTCACTTAACCCTCACCAAAAAAAAAAAAAAAAAAAAGGAAAAAAAACAACAGAAAAGGTAGAAAAATAAGTAAATGCAAAGTAATTTCAAGGTGTGGAAGCACTAACAAGTAGGGAAACCAGGAAAGATTTCTGGAAAGGGTCTGAGCTTCAAAGGAAACTCAGGATCCTAAGAGGCTAAGGTGAAGGAAATGGAGATATGAGGAACAAACCAAGTCAGATATGAATTAATGTGTGTGCCAGGGGGAGAGAGTTTCCACACCGAGAGTGAAAATCACAGCTCCTTTTAGTGCATTTTACCAATGGAACCCAGGGTTACAGAGCTGTTTGTTTTAATCTAGTGAAAGACTTTCATTGGATATTAATAAGCATCAGTCATGACAGCCACCTCATGAAAGCCTTCACAGCTATGGCTCCTCAAGGGTTTTTGAAGATACTAATTGGTATTAGCCAATGTCCCATCACGTCTAATGACTCCATATATTCCTGTGTTCTGATCCTTTCTGTTAGAAGGAACCTGGAACAAAGGCTAACAAAGGCGCTAAAGGGAAGAAGGATGAGAAGCAGGAATCTGGAAAGGAAGGTACTACACCGTCTGAAAATGGTGAAACTAAAGCCGAAGAGGTACTTTCTGTCAATGCCTCCCGCTGATTGACTCAGTGCATTTTCAAATTGATTCAGGAATCCAAACCATTGATAGCATGTTCATAATGTTTCTCTTTATTGCCCATGATGTTATTGCAGATTCGCATCTATCGCTCAACTGTTAGTGTTTCAACATCCCGAGGTGCCCCACCCAGCACACTGTCAGTAAAGGGGCAGATTGAAACAGTGAAAGTTAAGGGTACGGTAGAGAATGTCTGCCTGTGTGCAGTGGCTAGAATCAGATAGTAGTGTGCTGCTTTTCATTATGAACAGTGGAAGCTTGCAGGTAAGGAAGGCTTCTGTGGCTTTCTGAAAAGCAGAGACCGATAAACAAAGAGAAGTGTGTTTGTGGGTATGTATGCCTGTCTTGTCTGTGGAGCACCTACAATGGACATAGGCTTTGCAGTGGAGCTGCTTAAGGAGGGATGCTTTAAAAAAAAAAAGCCAACGTTGTGTCAGTGGGGTGGCTATCTGTCTGGGGTCTGAGACTGGTTAGTAACAGCCTTCTTCTCTTTTTGTTTTTTTTTTTCCTTTACTTTTCACAGGCACGGAAAACTGAATCTGTAGGTGACAAGGGAGAATGAATTATCACGAAAATTGGGGGTGGATTTTATGTACCTCTCGGGACAACTTTTAAAAGATATTTTTATCAAGTATTTTGTAAATGCTAATTTTTTAGGACTTATGATAGGCAGCATATTAAAAAATGTATATCGATGAATATTTTCCCTTCTCATAACAATGCTTTTTGGAAGCCCCCCATCACTTCCCCTGACCCCCAAAGTAATATGAACATCAGTTGAATATTGGAAGCCGTGTGTAAAATTGGATCAGCATTCCACGCACTTGCTTTGAAAATTAGTCCTGTGCAGACGGTGGTGTTTTTACTGTGCATATTTGAATTTTTCATGCCGTTTTTCTAGAGCAATAATCAGTGGTGCTTTTGTACTTAGGTTTTATGTGATTTTAATGAAACATGGATTCTTGTGGCCACCTGCTGACTATTTTTGGTTCTTTTAATGGTTTAAAATAAAAGGTTTTCTTGCCTGCAAAATTTCAGCTTTTTAGTGTGCTGTCTCTAAATTTAGAGAGTGTCTTGTTTCTGTTTTAATTGTTGCAGAAGATATTAGATGTTCTAGGAATTTCTGTGATCTCTGTGCTGTCATTGCCTCTAATAAGTAAAATAGTTTCATTTATTAATTTGTTAGGTTTCTAAAAATTTCATCTTTTGTGCTGAAAATCACTTCCAGGTATAAATACAAAAGAATAATAATTAAAACACATGCACTAAGATACAAATCAGTAAAACACTTCTGAAAGAAATTATTTATGTTGTGACCTGGAGCAAATTAGGGGATATATTAGACCAGATAAGCAAGGGATCATCCCTGGAAAATCTGCCACAGTCAGCACTATGGTCATAGAATCTGGAGACTGTGAGCATAACCAGCACCATGAAGCTTCATTGCTGGGGTTCTGTATAAATAAAGAAAAGACAGATTTTTTTTTTGTTTTTAAGGTAGCATGGACCCAAGCCAAACATGTACTTTTTACCTGGCTACATAAATTAATAATAGAGGACAAAATCATTTTAGTTTTTTGTCAAATTATATCAAACCAAGCTAAGAAAAAAAACCCATTCATTCTCATTTTCAGACATCTTTTTTTGTGAGTAATCATAGTAATTATTCATAACAGTAACCATACATATGAGGTACGTGCTACACGTATTATGATCACTATTTTTAGATGAGGAAACTGAGCCTAGTAGCAGTTAAATGATTTGCCCAAGGTCACATAATCAGTAACCCACATCCCCTAACTCCAGATCAATGAGAAGAGATGGTGTCTCTTAAAGGCCTGTTTATTTGACTGATCTCAAAGGATAAAAGGCCCCTTAAAAAGTTAGGGATTTTTGTTTGTTTGTTTATTTGTTTGTGTTGGTGGGGATAGGTGGTGGCTCAGAATCTGAATGTTTTCCTCTGGCCCAAGCCAGAGGAACATAGCTATCAGATAATGAAATATTTAAAGGACCCAGTTTCATCCACAGCACAATCCATTGCCCCTCCAAGACATCATAGACACTCTTGGTAAGTTACTGTGGGCAGAAAAATTTATTACCTAGTATCTGAACATATAAGGATGAAGTGACCCAAACTTCTCTTACTGGGTCTTAGTTAAAGCCTTGCCAATATGGAAGGACCCATCATTGTGCTTTGCTGATAAAGCCTTGAAGAACTCAGAGTCACCTCCATGTCACAGTGAGATCTACAGTAAGAATTTGAAGTACTTTAAATACACACACACACACACACATATATATTTCCCCCCTCTAACACCTTCTTACCCCCTCACCCCCATCTCTCAGAAACTAAATGGATGTCATCAATTCAGTGATTCCCTTCAACAGTTGTATATTCCAACCTATCCATAGCTGCCCATTCTGTGTAGCTTTTGTGCTGGTCCTTCCATAGGAAGTCCATGCAACATGCTGAAGGCCCTTTCTTACTTTCTTGTTATATCATGCGGGTACCAGTAAAGTACTCTGGTTGCTCAGAGGTCATCTCATCAGGCATATATGTTAAAGACTCCTCTCATCCCAAAGAAAAGTTCCCAAAACGGATGGTGTTAATTATGATCTTTGATAATATTGTTTTACTTATTAGCTTACCAAGCATGCTTCAAAAAGGCTGTGTGTAATATCACAAATATTTTTATCTACACTCACAGACTCACAAGAACAGAGAGCTTTCAGGCTAGTAAAACACTAATATTATCTCATTTGATCCTCACAACTTCGTAAAGTAGATTCTATCATTTGCATTTTACATATGAGAAAATTGAGGCTCAGAGAGGTAACATAGCTAAGTGTTGTCTAAGATTGGATTTGAACCCAGGTCTTCCCTACCATTTTACAATGCTCATTCCTCACAAGGAACTTGCTTTAAAAAATCCACAGATTTATCTTTTTTAAAAACAGCTAGGTAGTATAGTGCATAAAGTACTGGACCTGGAGACAGGAAAACCTGAGTTCAAATGCATCCTCAGACTCTTACGAGGTGTATAATTCTGGGCAAGTCACTTAACTTCTATTTGCCTCAGTTCGCTCCACTGTAAAATAGAGATAATATATTATAGCACCTACCTCCCAGGTTGTTTTGAGGCTCAGTGAGATAACTTTTGAAAAGCACATTGCAAGCTTTAAAGCTTAAAATTATATAAGCACTAGCTATTTTGGTATATTCAGATGAAGATTGCCTAAGAAAGGGATACCACACAGTATTTTCTACCCAAAATAGCCCTTCATCTCCAAGTGGGGTTCTTACAAACTAGAAAGGTACTAGATACAAAGCTATATTCAGAGATGACTATTCCCAGTAAGAGGAAAACAGAATTCCCACTGTCGGGGGCCAGCTAAAGCATGGAAAGAAGGTAAGTGGAATGTTTTTTGTTGTGTCTAAATCCACTTATCTACTGGTAACCAAGCAGCCATCCTGCAATTCAATATTAAAAAGTCTGAGAGCTGGGAAACTGTCTCCTTTCTCCCCAATCACTAGGAGGCGCTGTGTTAGTGTTCATTACTACAGAATTAGGCCAGCGTGCTACAATGTTGTGTTATCCTTAAGGTCCCTGAAGCCTTCACAAACCTGAGATATTTTCTAATGATTTAATAATAACAATAATAATAACTGACTCTGTAGCCACTTAAGGTTTGCAAAGAGCTTTATAGACATTTTTTATAGACATTTGATCCTCACAACAACCCTGTGATTTATTTAGTACATTTATGTCCCCATTTTAAGAAGGAAAAGAAAGATCAAGAGACTTTTCTAAGGTCCCACACATAGCCAATAATTGTTGAAAGCAGGATTTAAATAACATAAGTAACTCTCTACTCATCTTTTTTGAATACCAAGGAGCAAATGGCTATTAATGAAAATATATAGGCCTGTTCTTACTTTCCTTTTCTTGTTCATTCTGTAATTTTGAAGAGACATGATAAAAGTTGATTATCTTCTCATTTAAGATCTAAACAAATGTTTCTTTAATTATATTCCAACAGAATTCAAATCTAAGAGATACTACAAAGAAAAAAGGTATTAGAATAATGAACATACAGCAGACCCATCCACTTTATTTGTGTTAGATAATTGTATATGTTCAGCTGGGATAAAAATCCATCAGAGACTAATTGTCATCAATATCAATCATGTGAGATACAAGTTGACTTCTTATTGGTCCTGAATCCATCATTATAGGTAATGTTCATGTAGAATATATGTAAATGTTTATATTCACGAAAACATATATAAGGGCATCACCTTTAATGATGGATTTTAGGTCAACAAGAAGTTAACATGCACACATGTATAGATATAATATATACTATACTAACACATAGAAGGAAGGAAGGAAGAAAGAAAGAACAGTTTTAAAAGAAAATTTTCTAGTTGACCTATAGCTCCTTATACCATGGTTTAAAGCAGGCTGGGTGTTCTATCAAATCTGATCAGGAATCTCTTCATAAAAAGACTCACCCTTGAAAATCTCCTACTTGCAGAATTCTGGATTGTTAATTTGTATCAGAAGAGTGTACTACAAATAATCTCTCTTTTGTTATTTGAATTTATTACTATAAAAATTAACCACTGCCTCTGTTTCCTCATCTGTAAAATAAGGATAATAATAATAGCAGTATCTATTCCAGGGTTTTCCCAGAGGCAACTTGGCATTAGAAGATAAAACGCTGGGCATGGAGTTGGGAAGACCTGTGCTTAGTACAATGGCTGGAACATAGTAGGCACTTAACTGCTTATTGATTGACTTCAGATCTCTCTTCAGCAGGTCATTTAACTTCCATGTGTTTTAGGCTCTTTCCTAGAATCTCAGTCCTAAATAATAGAAAGATTGAAATCTGCATTGATAGAAGGAGTTCCATATTCTGATGAAATCACAGATCTTTCTTGTAAATATTTTTATATTACCTTCCACTGTAGTAATTAGGTAAAACTAAGGAATTTGAGAATGCAAGCAGAGATGTCAATAAACAAGATTGTAATGGTCAAACAAAAAAAAATACATTAGTGTGAAATAGTAAAGAGTGCCAAGTTCCTGGAAGACAGGAGCCATCTACTTTTCTTTGTTTTCCCCAGCACTTATTACATTTCATGGCCACAGTAGGTACCTAATAAGTAAATGAATTTGTGGTCAGAGGAATTGAGTTTGAATTCTGGTCCTACAACAGTCCTCCTTATTTGTCTGCTAACTTGACCTGTGGATGACTTCCTCATCTTTAAATGGAGGAGTTGGATTTGATCTCCAAAGTCCTTTCCAGTTATAAATCTATGAACCAATTGAGTGCCAAACCCTAAAAAAAGAAGAAATATAATTGCAGCCTTGGTTATCTCCACTTTGGGTTTATTTGTAAGTGTCCTGAACCCTGATGTGTACTATTCAGTTAAAGCATTTATTAAGTGCCTCCTGTGTGTAGAATACTGTGCTACAAATGATACCAATTGTCGATAATAATCTTTGTCCTCAGAGACACCTTGAAAAGATAGCTATAATATAGGTTAAGTATATTAGGGAGGTCCAGAACAAAGTAAGGAGGAAAGTCATTATCAACAGGGAAATTGCCATGGAGAGGTAGCATATGTGTTGAGTTTGAAAGGATTGATAGAAAGATTCATAGCACAGAGAAGCATAAGCAAAGGCATGAGGGCAGGGAAATGCAGGGGACAGGGACTTGTTCACTGTTAGAGAATACAATTCATGAAAGAAGGAATATGAGATAAGGCTAGCAGTGGAGAATGTTGCCAGATTGTGGAAGACCTTGAATGGTAAGCAGAAATTTAACAGTACTGAGACAATAGGGAGCAGAGGAGATTTTTGAACAAAAGAATGACATCTAGTCAGTCAATAAGCATTTATTAAGCACTCTACGCTAGACAAACAGCCACTGTTCTCAAAGAACTCATATTCTACTGGGGGAGACAGCTTGTAAACAACTGCATACATAAAGTATATATGGGGAGTAATCTCAAAAGGAAGGCACTGGC